CATAACTCCAGGTATAAGAACAGTGTGCCTAGGCCGAAGACAGGTTGGTAGCAGGTAACCTGGCCACCTTCTAAGCAATATATGACTATCAGTGGCACCAAGACAAATGAGAAAACACAATCGATCTCCAATCCGTCATAAACGACAGTGGTTTGGAGTGAATGGAATGCAAGCTACATCTCAATTGGGGCTGTACTTGACATAGCCGATTTGTAACAGTTTATAGTTCCTGCAGCTCGATTTTCTGAAGCAGACACAGTATGGTGCACTACAGCCATACACGACGGTCTTCCCTTCGAGTTCGTGCCCGTCCAAAACCCGTTCTTCCTGAAGCATTACCTTCCCTTGACCACTTCAGCACCCGGCTCACACCGACCAGTGTTGACGTAAAATATCCTGTGGTGTTTCCTTGTCTTCTGGATTGGGTTCAAAATTACAAGGCTACAGAGTTGAACATTTGTAGTCATAAACCCAAAACTGAGTCAGCTCTTCAATGACGGTTTTAAAATAAAATCATACACAGTGGATACGTTTCTTCCTAATCTTTCTGCAAAATTTTCAGATTAGTGTCACAATTTACCCTGATTAGCTTATTTTGTTGGTATCTTTAATGGCTAATCTTCTTTTTCAAATGTAATTTATTGTGGCATAGTTACACGTACCTAAACATTTGCTAGCATTTTTTGATTAAATTAATAAAATAAAAAAAATAGCATATACAAACTTCGTAGAGAGCTAAAATAATCAGGTCATGTTTTAGAACTGTAAGTATATACCTAACTTCTTACAAATAATTAGCTCCAGTTAATAATAATAGTATAACATTTTATCCCCAAAGAACAATAAAAACTATTTCAGAATTGCTTGTTTAGAATGGAGAGTTTAAATAGATTTTAGTACAATTTTATCAGTGGGGCACTGAATAATTGTTAGAGATCAATTAGAGATAACTTTTTGTAGTACTGTAGCATTAAAAAGAAAACAGTCATCAATATTATAACATTCCCTCTTCCAAAATGTATCTAAATTTTTAATAAAGTTGAAGATTTCCCTAATCAAACGAGCTTAAAGTAGGGTTTCCATAACTTCGAAACGAAAGCACGTAAATATGCAGCATATTTTTTTGTAAAAAAGTCTTTTAGTCGATCCCTCAACTCACCATTTAAAAAATCTATACAGGTGATTACTAGATTGTTGATTGGAATCTTTTTTTTAAGAATCAGATGGAAGAGATTGTGAATCAACAAAATCCTATCCTACAAGACATTCCATAATTCTGTAGGATAAAAAATTGATACTGTAAAATAGCTACGATTTTCTTTTTCATAAAAATGACTGAATTCTCATAATGTTTGGAACATTGATATTGAGTTAGTGTATTTATCAGAATCATGCATATATTTAGTGGACGGCCCCCAAAGTTAAATCTAATTTTACAATCAAATCAGTTATTTTAAAAATCTACGCTTGTATTTGTAGAAAATGGGATGCTCTGTAGACACAAAGAAATAGAAAAACTGTGCTAAAAGGTTAAAAATTCATGAATTTTTTAATATTTTTATCAGGACTTCAAACACTGATTTATGATTCAATATTGAGATGTAAGGCACTGTTGATATATATACAGCTCACAATTCACCGTTAAAATTCCCTTTTCATTGTTAAAAAAAGATCTTTAAGGCAATAATAATAAATTTATAAAGAGACAGTGGTATTTATTCAAAAATGTTTTTCTAAACATAAAATTTTGCTTACAATGTTCTACTTCCACCAAGTTTTAATTGGCGATTGAAATGGGCTAAAGGTGGCGTAGAGCAGAACTCTCTCCCTGTGGCAACACTTCGCATACTTTCACCATTAGTGTGTGGAGAGTCGTAGGAGAAGGAAGTAAATTAAGTTTATACACTGAAAACTTACTTGGATATAGATCAAAAAGAAAGAGTCATGGAAATTTTAAAAAATGTTTTTGATAATTGAGGACGAAAAATATTATAGTACATTCCTATATAACTGAGGAGAGGGAATAGTAAAGCCATGGAACCAATTTTCTCCCCAGGTGGCATATTCAAGCGTTGCGATCGTGAATATTGATTTGTGTTCGGACTTAATTTACACTATTATCTAGTGGCAGGCTAGACCAAGCCCACAAGCTCAGGAACTTTTTTTTTAAAAAAAAAAATATCTGATTTAAAATTGATCTTAAATTTTCTTGCCAAATCATTCCATAAAATGTATTAATAATGCTCAATATTACGAAGAAACAATACTATATTTTATTTTTAAACAAAATTTTTTTAAAATTATCACACACTAAACAATAAATAAAATTGTAGTTCTTTTTGTTGAAACCCCTAAAAAAATTACAGTCATTAAATCATGCCTACCTAAAGCTTGCCTATTATACCAGAGATGAGTCAAAGGGGTTTACTATAATTGTCACTTCGAGAGTTTTATTTTGAAGCAGATCTCAGAGTATTTGATGACTGTAAAACAACAGCGGCATATTTCCTGGCCAAGAAGTGGGCAATTTCATCCAATATGAGACAGAATCCACAGGCAGGGCTTCAAGTGGCAAAACATGGTTTTGGAGCAACAAAAAAGCAATTTTGGAGCAGCAAAACAAAGATTTGGAGCATAGTTAATAGAATTAAAACAAGAATTTTTATTTTTTACACTTTTTTGAAGGTCCCTGCATTAACAAATTAAGTTTCTTTTTGGTACCTTCCAATGTTGTTGAATATTCTGCTATCCTTGACTTAGCCTCAGATAAAAGGATCTGTCTGCTTTCTATAACCTATATGTCTTTATTATTTTGCCCATCTTTAATCTTTTTTTCAGCTGCGGCTAAGAGATCCCGAGAAGCCTTCAATTGTTTTTATAAATAAATTTCAGCAGCTTTCCTCAATCTCAGTGTTTTTCGCTTTTTTCTTTCTTTTTTTCTCAACCTCTAATCGAGCAGAATAATTTTTAAATGCTACACGAACCATTTTAATCATATCTTTGTCAACTTTAGAGTTATTTAAACTCCTATTTTGTTGATATGACACAACTTCTCTCCAACCATTTACACTATGCAAATTTAAACTTGCCTTATTGTCAAGTAGCTTTTTGTTCACACTTAAACCTCTTTCAATATCGGCATTCCCATGTGGTACGCACAAAAGAGCTATGTTATAAGAGGATATTTGATATTTCCCAAAATTATCTTTCTTCACAAAATAGTTTTTCCAAAACACATCAATCTGTGCATATTCATTTGAGTCAGAAGAATAACTTTCTGGTTCCCCATGTAACCTTGTCCCTTCATCTAGTAACAAAGATGCCTCTCCAGGCTTTATAATGGATGGGGTTACTTTTGTTAGATATCTTATTGACTTAATAGAAGTTTCTTCCATTCTCATTACAGGATGCAACACT